AGGCTGGTTGGCGTATTGTTTTACAAAACTACGTGTGCATATTTTGCATACAAAAACCAAAAGAAGAGCTACGCCCGCTTCCACCTCATTGTGGCCCGCCCCACCTCCATAGCAGCCATTTGTGTTGCATGGCCCCCTGCGTGTGGCGGAGCGGCGAACAATTATGCCGGGAGCCCACCCCTCCATAGGGATGGCGTAGGTGCCGTCAGAATAAAAAGATTCAACATGCACACACAAAAGGGGCTCCGCTCAAGAGAGTCAATTAATTTGGGGGCGCACATTTCTTTTCCGGCACGGGTCACACCTGCTTCTGCGCCTCTCTTCGGCTCACGCGCGCGACGAAAAGCCCCACAGCCCCAGCAGGAACGACAACAGCACCCCAGACAGACGCCCACGCACAGAACTGTCGCCGCCACCAACCTCCTTTGGCGCTGCCTCCGCAACCCTCTTGTCATGTGGGACGGAGGCGTTGTTCAGGCCTGGCGCCGGTGCATCGCGTGGTCCAGCATCTTCTCGTGCGGAACTGCCAGTCGTGCCGTGCATTGAACCCGCCGGGTCGCTGGTGGGGGGTGCTGCGGGCGGGGGCAGTTTCTCCACTTCCGTCACCATCCCGCCCTCTTTCCTCCTCATCAGTGCCGCAATCTCACTGCCGTTGAAGCAGCGGTTGTACAGCAAGACGTTCGTCACCGTCACGCGGCCCCCTGCGTCTTTCTCGGTGCCGTCCCCGTAACCCTCAAAGTAGATGTTTGAGATCATTTCAGATGGCATTCCCAGCAGAGGCCGCGCAAGACCAACTCCAGAGGAATGTGGAGCTTCCAAAGGAGATACGCCTTAATCCCCCAAACTCCCCACAAGCTCCCCGTCGACGTACGCCGAGCAGCCGTCATTCTGCACCGTAAGCGCCACTTGGTACGCCGTCCCCACCCCCCACGTAACCGCTAATGCATTCCCTTCCTCCCTGAGCATCGTCTTCCAGTGCTGATGCTCGTCGTGCCACAGGCCAACATACTTCCCGTTGGGACCCACCGTGCTCACACCCAGCAACAGGGTGGTAAGCGTTGGAACTTTGCTGATGGTCACCGTCGCCACAAGCGCCAGCTCCTCACCCACATAACTCTGCACTGGATTATCCTCCTGCCTGCCCATTGGCCACACAATCCGTGCACCACGCCCTGCCAACCGGAAGCCATTCTCAGCCTTCGTCATCATTCCCGTAGACACCGTGGCGCCCACCCCGAGGTACTCGTCATTCCAGTGAGTATCGCTGGCATTGTTAGACAAAAATCCAATCAGCCCGGCCGTTGGCAGCGGGCCGACGCAGCCAGCTGCTTTTGTGCCGTCCGTCATTGCAGTAGTGGTGGTGGAGCCGCAAAGCGTTGAGACCCTGTCATCCATTTCTTTCCATTTACTCAGCATAGTCTTGATGTGCTGCAGCTGCTCAGTGAGAGACTTAAAAACAAGACTGCCTAGCCCTCCACGCTCCCTTTTCTTCGAGTAGAGGGCAAACAACCCATCTCGTGTGTACATCAGCGAGCTAAAGGGGTTGTAGCCCGCAGCATCATTAGCAGATATTGGCCCAACGTAATGTGTTAGGGTACCATCAGAAACCAACAAGTCCATTACGCTGCTACTAATGCCCTCAACGATAGGGGGCTCGCCCATGAGAGTGACTTCCCTTCATTCCCTCCTTTTGTTGCCACGGGCCCTGAAACTTGACCAACAACCAACACAAGGTCCCAATAAAAACTCTAGCTGCGAAAAATCGACACTGGACGGAGCAACATTTGACACAAGAAAAAACATATTGTTCCCCTCCACCGCAGCCCGAGAACCAAACGGCGGAATATAGAAATTCTCCTTCCACGTATGGTCGGCCACAGGCTGCGGCGTTTCCTACTGTTGTTCATTCCATGCAGCGTCTTGTACCAACTTACTCTCTGCCCCCGTACGGGTGGTAAACTTGCCCAAATGCCAGCATCCAAGTAATGATTGGCACCGCTTTGGTATTCACCCAATGCAAGAGCGATCACTACGCCATTCATGTCAACAAAGGAATGGCCACGGAATGAGGAAACAAATCGTTCAGGAAAAGAAAATTCGCTTTGTTCGTCACAAGTAGACACTGATACTTCCCTGGTTTGAAGAGTTCAACCCTTTTCAGCCGTTTTTCCTTAGCGTGCGCAACTCCACTTCCACCGCCGCGCATCAATACGCAAAGAAGCAGCAGCACTGCAGAAAAAAAAACGGCTGCCGACACATGTTGGATTGTTGCTGTTCACTCACTCTCCCTCTCTTCCCTCCTTGTGGTGGATCCGCTCAAACCGTGACAGTTGTGTGTGTGTGTGTGTTGCTGGTGGTGACTGCAGAGCGTTTCAATGCGCAAAGCAACAAGTAGCGTTTGGTCTCTTCCTTCTGCGTACACGAGGTAAAGAGGGCCCACAAAACCGAAAAAGATTGACATTCAAACAGGGTGTTACAGATCGGTGAGACACACAGCAGCGTCATCCCCGCAGCCATTGTTTCCTCACCTCCCACAGCCACACAATTACAGTGATGCTGTACACAAGAGACAGAGATTGTACTGAACCCTCGTGTGGCAAGACGCCCCCATCGCAAGGGACATCAGCCCCCACGTTGCCAGCAGATAAGAGGAGCAGGCTAAAGTCCAAGGGAT